GTTCCGTTATACTTACCGGACATATTACTTGCGAAATCATAACTTTGGAAAATAATTTTATCGACTGGTAATCCTAATGAGTTAAACACACTAAAAATTTTTTCCGCTAATGCTACGCCCATTTTTTTTAGTAAGAACAACATCCATTTTTAAAAGACGTTCGTTTGGTACAAGCATACCATTTTTTTCGCTAATATAACGTATGTTGATTGTGAGACGATCATGGTGCGTTAAGTCAGGTGTTGTATCTGCAATTACTGAGTAGAATTCAGCATTTTTAATTTCTTTGATCAACATATCACGTGTTTTTGTACCAAGTAGGTTGATAAATTCATTTTGAGAATGCACCCCCAAATAAGTTACTCGATGAAGTCGTTTTTCAGTTTCTTCTAACCATTTGGCCATAATTGGGGAATGCCGAGCTAATAAATTTACCATTTGACAAAAATTACCATTATCGTTATCTAAATCACTCCCATGACCTCTAAAGGCTAATCATTGCCTAGCTAAAGTCCGGGCAACATCAATTAGTATTTCTAATACTATTTTATGATACTCTTTTAGTTCTTCTTCTCTTATATTCTGGTTTCAAAGGTTTTTGTCAAGAAGAACATTCACGTGACTTTTTTTATCCAAAAAATGACAGTAATCAAACATTGCTGCTTGATGCGATTGTGAGGTAAAATGTTCAATAAGTTTTCCTTTTTWTTTGGTTCCACGACTTTTGAAAAGCAAAATGCTGCATCCTTCTCAATGCTGTATTCCAACATAGGAAAATCTCTATACCATGTAGGATTGAAACGTCGTTGTTTATTCAAAGCTATAGATTCATTTGCTGGGAAAACAGGCWYTTTTGGCTGAAAGGGTCCGAGAGATATCAAGTATAGTCGGTCTTGCTGCGAAAGGACGTCTTTTTTTCGTTTCCCTGGGTCATGGTGAATAAATTCATTTTCGGTAACAACCCAATAAACATATAAACTTTAAATAGAACATTAATTAAAACTAAAAAAAACAACATTAAACATTGAACTAACCATTTAATACTCATTAAATTGTATTTTAATAAACATTTATAAACCTTACACCAAACATCATTTGAACCAATTTTTAAGATTTAATAMTACGTTAAACTGCAAGGTTTAATTCAACATTACACCACAATTTTATCAAAAACATTGCATTCCTATGCTTAGTTCAACATTATATTATACATGTTAAATCCAACATCACACCAAAATGTTTTAAGGAATATTGCATTTCTATGTTGAATTCAACATTAATAAATTCATCAAGCTATAAACAACATTGCATTTTTAGGTTAAATMCCAATATTAGTTTAAATCTGTGATTTTACTTATACATATTTTTTAAATAAAATACATACACATTTTAATAACAGAAAAGGCGCTTTATTCAAAATTAAAAGTAAAATATTTAATACAGATAGGTATATAGGTAATTGTTTTTTTAATGGCACTACACTATTGCTGCATTTTCTAATTTTCGTTTTAAGCGAAATGGTGCTTGAATAAGCATATACTTAATAGCATCGTCAATCTCCTCTTGCCTTACAATACCTTTGAACTTTGACATTTTTTTGGTGKCTTCTAAAATGAATAACATTAAAATTATWATTATACTATTATTTAATAAATTTAAAATCTAAAGTTTACCATCAATTAATTTATAGAAACCCAAAGACTGAAAACATTTTCTTGATGTTAATTTTCTTCCAGCAAATGAGAATTGTTGCAACAATTTGTCATCAAAAAGTTGTAACATCATTTTCTTTACTGATGAACCAACATTTTCCCCACCAATATTGTTAGATAGATCTCGTACCTAAATTAATTTATAAAATGTAGTTCATAYATTATAATAAAATAGTTTTAAAAATATAATTTAAATAAAATATTAACATAATATTATTAAGAACAACAATATAATATATTATCACTCACTATTTTTTTGCGGTATTCACTGTCTAATAAAATTTGATCTTCTATTTTATTAAGATCATCTAGATTTTCTATGGGGAACAAATCAGCCATAGGATTGTAATCAATAATAGTACTATCTCCATTTGAAAAAATTTGTTTACTTGCTTGATCTTCAAGCATTTTGATGATAACATCTTGTTTTTCTTCAATTGTTCGTAGTWTGAATTTGAAAATTAGCTGTTTTCTCATTATTGTTTTAAGAATATCATCTGTAAAATAAGATCAATTTCTAGTTGAATATAATATATATATAACTACTATAATACCTACTTACATAATAATAAAATATAATATACTATAATATTATTAAAGAAATTTAAAATGTGTAAAAGTAGGAACTATAATAATTTAATATTAATAATAATATTAGGTACCATTTAAAGCTGTTGAATGAACTTTTTTCTTGAATAATGCCTGACTTTTGATTTTTTTGAAGGGAGAGTTATTTTGATTTAATTTTGAAGATTTTGCTGAAGTCAAACGAACAGGAGTCATACATAAAGCATTATTAGCTGAAAAAAAATTTTTACTTTAAAAATAAACAATATTTAATATACACAATACCCACAGTTTGGTTATTTTAATAGGTACTATAATTGTAATAAATATTATATTATACAATTTTAACACATTTCACAATTCACACACACATATGGTAAAAATATGTACCATTTAAAGGTATTCAAATACTACCAAATAATAAAACATATAATAAAATACTCACAGAATATATCAGGTGATATCATTGGTTCATCAATATTTTCAATATAATTACAATTATTAGTATTCAATAATGGTGTACCAGTGTCTTTTTCAGAATTGATTGAGTCGCCTAACAAAAATAATGGGAAATATACAAATTACAATTATAATACATACAATTTTTTATAGATCAGTATTTAAATCAATTACAAAATTTTAAAATGTAATATTTTGCATATTTATAAGGGAAACTTTAGTGAGTATTTCATATTAACAAAAGTATAAATATAAAATATTATTAAAGAAAGTTAGTGGAAAGTATGAATGTGGAATGTTAGCAATTTTGAGTATTTTATGTTTTAATAATAAATATATTTACTAAAAATTTAGGTGAATTCAGAATAGTGYCTAGATATAATATAAATATAAATTACAAAAACTATTTTATTAAATTAGAATATATTAAGAGATAAATAATACATCATAATTGC